CCCTACCCTCCAGTGTATCTACCATGCCTCCCAGTTTAGTGTCATCTGCAAACTTGCTGAGAGTGCAGTCCACGCCATCCTCCAGATCATTAATAAAGACATTAAACAAAACCGGCCCCAGGACCGACCCTTGGGGCACTCCGCTTGAAACCGGCTGCCAACTAGACATGGAGCCATTGATCACTACCCGTTGAGCCCGACGATCTAGCCAGCTTTCTATCCAGACTGTTGAGCGTGTCAGCACTGACTGAGCCCATGCTAAATGAATCTACAGCAAACGAGCTCACAGTGAGCGTGCTGGCATTCAAAGAGTTGTGTCAAAAGAGCTCTCAGTGCTGCAGATTTAGTTGGAGGGGCCAAAGTCATAGGTACCGCCAACAAATCAGTGGCTGCCTTCTTAGCTCAGTGTTGTTCCCGTGCCGAGTCCAATTACTTTTGCAGGGCCAGCTGCATTGTGCCGACTTAGCCATGTCCATAGACCTATGGCTCTGTGGTTTCCTTTCGCTTGGTACCAGAGAAGGAAAACAGTGGCCAAACAAGAGGCAAAATTAGAGGTAATCTCCTTTCTCCTGCGGCTAGCACAGATCATGGAATGTGGCAACAGTGTCTGTGGTGCCATTTACAAGCTCTTGGAGGAGGAGGGAGCTCTCTTTGACCCCTTCAATCTAGGAGTGGTAATAGTGGCTGAACACTAACTGCATGAGTTTTTAGGGAAGTATCTAATCTCGAACTTCTTCCTTCTGAACCACTTCTGAGTTGGATCATGCCCACAGATTATTCCAGGCAGTAAAGTTTTAGTCAAGATTCCCTGGCCTTTTGCGTGTATTTTTTGAATCTGTTAGAAATTGCACACTTAGAGGGAATATGACTCTCTCCTAAACAATATGTCAGTCAGTAAGGGGAATTACCCCTCCAACATGAAGGACAAGTCTTGAAATGTGGAGATATGGGTTCAGGCACCAGGTATCCTAACTACTAAATTATATCTACAGAAAATACTTTTTTTTTTGCCAGCCAGCTCAAAATGAAACACTATGAAACAAACTAATAACTACAGAAACTTTATATAAACATTAGTATATAATGCCTGCATCTGTAACTTTCACTCTATGCATCCGAAGAAGTGAGGTTTTTACTCACGAAAGCTTATGCCCAAATAAATCTGTTAGTCTTTAAGGTGCCACCAGACTCCTTGTTGTTTTTGTAGATACAGACTAACACGGCTACCCCCTGATACAGAAACTACAGTAAACTAACTCTTATGGGAGACTGAGGTTGTTCTGAGTCTCTGCCAAGGGGTGCTCAGAGTGGTGGTTGGAATCGTTTTGCTTTTCTGCCATTGGGAGGGAAGGACGAGGGTGTGCAGGGTGCATGCACGACCCCTCGTGGACATTGCTGGTGAATACATTCCATAATCCTGTGCAAGCGGCGCATGCGCACCATGAGCAGGATCCACAGACAGACATTGGAAGAAGAAATTAGGATTTTGTCTCAGATAAAGAACGAACAGGGGCAGACTCAGCAACATGAGGGGTTGTAAATCTTTATCTGTTTCAGCTTAGTTTATGGGGAAAGCCAGGAAAGGGATATTTTATATGCTGATCCCAATACCTGTATAACTTTGGGTACAGCCTACAGATTTCTGATCTCACCAGTAACTGAGTAGACCAAGTCAGCTATTAACCCAAGGGCTGGACTGCTGCTCCCTGTTAGAATCCCAGACTTCTGTTTATTGACAAGGCTCTGAAGTGTTTGGAGAATAACTCAGAAGCTGCTATTCTGCGCAAGGTCTGAAGAATCCAGGTGCCACACACTGCATATTATGGCCATATGACAGAAACTGAGAAATTATCTCTGAAAGAAGATCAGAGGGGATGTGATCATGCATGTGTGCTAACGTATGTAAATTATTTTAAAACCTTATATTGAAATATATTTAACAGCTAAGTGGTGAAAGTCTGTCTAAGGAAGACTGGTGGATTTACTAAATAATAGCTTTTAGATAAAAGCTATTAAGCATTCCAAATACGGATTAAAATGTTTTTCTGTGTATGAAGTGTTTACTAAGAAGTTGCATTGCCTTTTCTTGCTGCAGCTGACAGGGAACTGTTATTAAAACCTATGTTCAGGGTTACATATGTAACAGTCTGTAAGGGTTAACTATGTAATGCTTTCTGAAAAGTCCTGAAGTGATAGAACTCTGATCTGTGTTTCAGCCAAGAGTTAAACTGAGGTGCAGGAAAGGAGAGAGTGTTACAAAGATGTCTCTGCAATGGACGCATATTGAATACAACATTGAATTCAAGGTCTCTGTTCTGATATTCCCAGTTCTCCGTGAGACAGTCCCTAGCTACCTGACAAACTCCCTCTCCCACTGTGACTTTGGCTTTCAACAACAGCTACGCTCCACTTGAAGCGGTTGATCAAAAGGGACAGAACTTTTACATGAGCAGGACCAACCCTGTGGAGCCCATTGCCAGCAAAGACAGACAATGACCAGGAGGCTCAGCACATTGAGAACTAAATGTCAAGCTCGTTTCTGTGACCCAGCTGCCCTCCGTAACTTCTTCACACAAGCAAACACGCTCATCCCCCCCCCCAAATTATTATGGTACATTCATGTTTTCACTCTCACTGGCAACAAAAAAAGAGATTTTTCTTACTCTTTTTTAGTACTTCTGAGGCACTCAGACATTACCATGATGGAGACCATATAAGTCAGATAAAAAGGCAGATAGATACCTCCAGGTAGGGGACAGGAGTGTCTGGATTCAGAGGGTATTCCCTCAGCAGTCGCTCCTCGTCCAGGAACTTTCCAGCCCTGCCATTGAAGGCTGGCTGGAAGAGCCCATAGTTCAGAACATCCTTCAGGCTGTGGTTCAAGGTACAGAGAATGCGCTGTTTGGAGACCCAGACAGGAACATCAGGATTTAGCCGCATACATTTCTATGGAGAAAAGAGAGAGTGATTAGGGGATGGCAACCCAGCATTTCTGTAATTCTATAACCACATCCAAGAACAACAGTGGTGAGGCCATGGAACAAGCTTAGAACAGGAAATCTATAACCTTTTCCATGGCAGTGAGTAAGTGGAAATAGATAATCTGCAGAAATTAGGGAGGATAAGATCCATTAGGTCCTATCTTCTCTATCTCTTGTGATGCCAGCGCAGAATCATTCTCTACAATCTAATCTACAGGGTTTTATCCTGTCTGCAAATAAATGTTTCAAGTAAAGGGATGTCCAGGAGAGTATTCCATGGTCTAATACCATACAATTCACTGTCAGGAAGTTTTCTCCATTATTCAGCTTAAATATCCCCGTGGAAGGGTGCAGAGGCTCTACTGGATATCCAGAAGTAGAAAGATCTCACAAATATAAACAGAGACAAATGATTTTGCAAGGCTGTAGACTGCTCAATTAGGGGCAATGAAGGAACCCAGAGAGGCCTTGAAAAAGGAGGCAGAGCTCTACATAACATTTCTAGACACCATTTATGACTGCTTCTTGGAGCAGCTGGTCCTGTAACCCACAAGGAGAGAGGCAGTTCTTATTCATAGATTCATAGATTCTAGGACTGGAAGGGACCTCGAGAGGTCATCGAGTCCAGTCCCCTGCCCGCATGGCAGGACCAAACACTGTCTCGACCATCCCTGACAGACATTTATCTAACCTACTCTTAAATATCTCCAGAGATGGAGATTCCACAACCTCCCTAGGCAATTTATTCCACTATTTAACCACCCTGACAGTTAGGAACTTTTTCCTAATGTCCAACCTAGACCTCCCTTGCTGCAGTTTAAACCCATTGCTTCTGGTTCTATCCTTAGAGGCTAAGGTGAACAAGGATTCTCCCTCCTCCTTATGACACCCTTTTAAATACCTGAAAACTGCTATCATGTCCCCTCTCAGTCTTCTCTTTTCCAAGCTAAACAAACCCAATTCTTTCAGCCTTCCTTCATAGGTCATGTTCTCAAGACCTTTAATCATTCTTGTTGCTCTTCTCTGGACGCTTTCCAATTTCTCCACATCTTTTTTAAAATGCGGCGCCCAGAACTGGACACAATACTCCAGCTGAGGCCTAACCAGAGCAGAGTAGAGTGGAAAAATGACTTCTCAGGTCTTGCTCAGAACACACCTGTTAATACATCCCAGAATCATGTTTGCTTTTTTTGCAACAGCATCACACTGTTGACTCATATTTAGCTTGTGA